TAACACCCCAAAAAAAAAATAAATGAATGAGGTCATAGGTACTCGATTTTAAATACGTAGTTAGAATAATGCTGAAGTGAACAAAACCTAATTATTTCATCGTCATCATTATTCAGGGTTTTCTAATGTTGGTTTTAAAGTGTGTGGTTTACTTCTAACTAAACGATCAAGTACGAGTTTACGATAACTAATATTTAAAAAAAAAAAAACTTCTTAGAATTCCAACCACCACATCGGCCACTGATTCAGAAACGTTGTTGGGATCATTCAGCGAGAAGCAAATCCGCCCCCATGAGTAAAAAGAGCAAGGCTGGCTTAGCCGTTTCGAGATGGTTTTAGACAACGTTAAGATTTAGATTTAGGTTTAGTAAAGGACACGCTCAGGTGAACATAGTTTGGGCATGGATACCCAGTGAGGGATTCTCCAGGATTATCGATGTTGGTATCCAATGGTATGGTTGGTAACAAAGGGTTAGAATTTTATTTAACACACCTTTCATGTTTTTTCCACTGAACTATTTTATAAATTAAAACATATAGTACGTGAGAGTGATACCTATGGTCATCCGGTTAATATGGCCACTTTCTTATAACTCAAAAACTACAGCCTTGTATGCATAGATGACTCCGTGATACGATAGTTCTTCATCAGTCAACCAAATATTAGAGCTGCTTTATCGACACCACTTATACAGTTGACATAGTAAATATTTTAGTCGATTTTAGTATTATGTAGTGTAGTTAGTTTTTTTTAAGTTGATTTTTCGAAGTGTTCATAATTATTGCCAAGGCTTGTTTGCTATTTTTTTTAAATACATAAGTTATAGTATACGACTTTGTGTTTTTGTTTCTGTCCTGCTCCTAGTTTTGGTTTTATAAGGCGGCCAAGCTTGAGGTGACCATATTACCTTTACGTTTCTTAGTTTATTTTCTAAATAAGAAGTTATATATATATATATATATATATATATATATATATATGTTTGTATGTATATATACTCGTATAAAGAAAATAAGTAGTTATATATGCCGGCTATATATTATTAAATTATAACTACTTATTTGGCAAATAAACCAATATATGAAGGGGAGTGCTCAAAGGAATTATTCTTATTAACTCCAGCTGTTTCATTCCACCACCTCTCACTGCAACAGAACTCGAAATTCCATCCTCATCATCTCGATGGCTGGTGGTCCACTTTTGTGTGATTTACGCGAAATTTTCTGCCTCGTACGACTATACTGTTTAATAAACTTCACAGTGCGCCCTTTTATAACCTTATGCCTGTGGACAGTGGACACGTGCCTAGTTTGCCGTTAGGATAATCCGCCACTGCAAACATTTCAAAGAAAACATTTGTATGTTATGTAAGTAATTACGACACTCGTATTTTACCTGTAGCTGATTTTCTGGCTTCCCTCAAATAGAATATCCAATTTCTTGCATAATTGAGTTAACTCTATATTTTTAGCATAATTCAATTATTCAATAACGGTACTAAAACGATGCCCCAAAACATTACTTGTAATTTTGATATCTTTGATCATCATCATTTTCGATATCAATATTATCTCTAGGTTTTATGGAGGCGATGGAGAAAGCAGTTGGTGGATATCTCCTCACAGTTCATGAAACATGCAAAAACATAGTAATAAGTTTTGTGACGATGATCGAGCACGCATTGAAACTTGTTAATTCGTCAGAACTAGATTCCAGATTGCAATATTTTTCAGAGTATACTGATGGCCTACAAGAATACACATACACGTATGCAGGGTGTATTGTCAGCGCTACACTGACCTTTATTATACAAGTACACCGGACTTGCCATACACCGTGATTTACTTTTCGCCATTTTGGCGCTGATAACGGAAGTGCGCGTCCACGGAACTAATAATATAGACAGGACAGTGTGACAAAATATATCGATAAAAATTCTCATTATATTAATGTACAATTTCAATATAATGTCATACAATAAATAATAAAATCACGATTCCCGCCAGTGCTACATTAACAGAATTAAATTTTTTTTATTAATGTAGCATGTTTATTTATTAATTTTATTTATTTTCTTTTTTCATTTTATTTTAACTGCAATGCAGGCCTGGGCAGGGGCCCCTAAGCTATACCTTGGTAAATATTCCGTGTTGCACTGTGATTAGGGGCTGAACACTTGTCTTAAATTTGATAATTATTTAGTAGCCGAGTTCAATCTCTTGTACTGACACCGCTGAATTTGTTTAATTAAATTTTAGGTGAGGATTATATTCATGACTGGTGATCAAGAAATGGATATTTGGAGGTCAGAAAAGTACAACATTTTTTTCAATAGAGTAAGGGTGGCGAACAAGCACACAGTCCACCTGATGTTAAGTGAATGATGTGGCCCGTAAATGAATGTTAAGAATCAAAATGCAGATGCGTTTCCAACCCTGAGGACTGAGATGGAATGCCTTGCTTCCAGTAAAAAGGGTCTCCGGTTCTCTACACTCACCATGCAAGACACAGCAGCATTAACCTCTCAAACGCCAAGCGTCCAAATTTGACTGCTTCGATATTCCGTCAAAATTCAAGAGGTCAAATTCGACCGCACCCACCCACAGTACTTTAACACATAAATACTTATGTTTAGAGACTACTTTTCTATGAAGAAGTTGGGCATTATAGAATCAGTTAGTCTATGAATATTAATTTATATTCTACGTTTGTTACGTACGCCATTTTCATTTGGATGTTGTTTTGTTGATTTTTGGATTTTTCTAGTATTTTATTAGTGTTTTACGATAGTGTTTTATTACAAAATGGTTATAAAAGTTTTTGTGCGAATATAAATCGTGCGTAAATAATATCGAGTAATATATAGAAATAATTGCGATTTTCACGCTGCCGACATCCGTTCGGTATGTTTTTTTGTTATCAAAATATAATGAAATCTTTTTGTCATGAAGTAAAACTTAACTTTTGTTTAGACCACAGGATAGAAAAAGTTGTATAGATTTTATAATGTCAAACTTCTTCATAGAAAAGTAGTCTCTAAATATAAGTTTTAAGTGCTGTGGGTGGGTGCGGTCGCATGCAACCGCTCGGGATTTGCCAGGCGCATGTGACCGCATGGGAATTTTATGGGGATTGAAGGGTTAAGCTACTATTTTACGCTGGTATTCTGTGAGAGCGTGGTCCTTCCTCGGTCGAGTCGACCCATTCGTGCTATAACTATACTACTAATATAACTGCAGCATGGCTCTACTACGTATTTTTTATAATAACGTTTTATTTTAGGTTACAAAACATTGTTTCAATAAAAAGTATAGCGCAGTTGCTGGGTGACATCACAACGCAATTCTCACCAGAGCTACACAACCGAATTGCTGTTTAGTTCGTTTTCTATCAAGCTTTAGCGTCAGATCTTTTTCCTTTGTTTATAACTTAACTTAACTTACTTTATGATACTGATGCTCTTCACTTTATATTATAGTAGCTTGCCAGGCCGACTTTGTTTTACCCTTTCCGACGAGCCTTTGTTATTTAAAAAATCTTTAAATTCGCAAATAAATATTATTGAGGGTCACTTATCGGCATAAAATCTATCATGTCTCTCAAGTTGGAGCAAGTAACACATTTACAAAACTTTATTACCAAATCTTTTGAGTGGTTTCGGAGTTCATCGCAGATAAACAATGTGACAAGTATATAAAGATTAACTTTCATTACCTGTGTGTTATTTTGTAATTAAGTCGGATATGTTTCTATAGAACAGGATAGAATACTTTTTATTTAATGTAGATTAATCTCAACACGATAAATATAAATATAAATTAAATAGGCTCGGATTTCAAGCTAATTTTGGACCTACTTTAACTCTGAAACTATTACTTAGTACATATATTACTATACACACTTATACTCGTACTTTTAAATACCTAATAAAGACCCTGTCAGTATTTATAATCTTAAAATTCTTAAATAAACCTATCAAACTTCTTGAGTTATTAAGAGAGGGATTATTTATGAAATCTAAAATTTACGATAATTTTAAACTTGCTGATTAACAAAAATTTTACGTTTTATAGGCTTTTGTTGTAAAAGCGTATACATTGAGCCGTAAATGAATTTCTAATTCTGTGGAGCCGTTTAACTGGCATAAGAAGCTTTTGTTTGTTTCTCGTATCGTATAGTAGGATCATCGTTCTTATCAAAGCTATTCATGACTTTACGCACATACATTAGGTACATTTTCATAAATACATTGCGACGCTAAAGTTAATATAATATTCATTTCTTTAATTTTTCTCTTTGAGGGACTCTTTACAATTTATTTTATAATTTCACATTAGTGTTGTTTCACACCTGTGCTACGGAAAGAACGTAAAGCCGTTGATCCTGTACCTGATCTCTCTGCGGTCATATCGGAATGTCGTTCTATCTGACTATGATTGACTTGAGGAGCTCACGTGAGCTTGCACTCGGGCCACTATAATCATATACTGCTCAAATGGCAAGTCTCAATTGAGACTGGCCACTGTGACTGAAATTCGATCTGGAGGACATTAATGTTATTATTAGTTACATCAAATGCAAAGTTAGCTTCGTTTGATGTTATTACTGGTCAACAGGCAAGCATTTATTTTAAAGCATTTTTCACACCTTTTTACTTAGTATTAGCTTAGTATTCGCAGAGCTAATTACATCTTCGCACTGGTAATGCTAAACCTTGTCAAAGGATTCCACGTTCTGGTTGAATTATTCTCCGTCCAGCACCATCTGGCCTGAGCGAGTGAGGTAGGTAGTTAGCATATAACCTCTTAAATATTATACAACATATTATAAATAAATAAAATACGATTTTTCATATACACATAATATATATTTAAAAACACAAATAAATCTTTGGAGGATATCATAGATCTCAAATTTATTTTACAATTTCATCGTTACAACTAGAACAATTAGAGTTCGTTAAAAATACCGTGGTTAAACAAAATTTGCAATGTCTTTTTTACCATAACCCTGGCCCCCGCTGCGACCACCACTTGTCAATGTTAGCTGATGTTGAGTTCTTTCCATTGAGACCGAGTGTGAAGGAGAACTCCTTTGGAAACCAATTAGTGTCAAATTGCACGCTGATATTGAAGCCCCCGACGCCGTCGATAACTGGTGTGGATTTGTGATTCGGTACTAACAAACGGGCGCATGTTATGGTGCATTCTATTCCAGCTGAAATCTGTAAAGAAATGATAAAAAACCATTAACTATCAATAATGAATCGATAACTATTACCACAGTTTAAAGAGTTAACAGAGATAAAAAAAGACTTTAACGCAAAACTATGTACAACAGAGAATGGTGAATAAATATAGGGAAATTACTAGTAAGGTAACGGAATCCAAAATGTTATTGTCTGGCTGACGTCAAGGAGAAAGATGGGATCTTTTTGACATACCATTTATTTCTGCAGCGGCCCTATACAAAGTGAGATTGATTTCATTATGATAACCCGACGGCAACTGTTAAGAGGTGTCCCAGTGATCACGAGGGTGAGAACATGTAGCAATCACCGAATGACGGTATATAGTGTGTGATGTGTGTGTGGAGTGAAGTGTGGGATTTAAAAAATAGAACAAAGTCTGTAATTAGACTTTTAAGCAGACTTGAAATATATATTTATTTATAGAATAAGGGTGCCAAACGAGCACACAGTCCACCTGATGGTAAGTGTGCTGTGGCTCATAGACATCTACATTTATTCTCAATTAAAAATCAAAATGCAGATGCGTAGTTACCACTGAGGATAAGATTACAAGATGAAATGCCTCGTTTCCAATTAAAAGGGTATCCGGTTCTCTACACTCACCATACGAAACATAACAGCATTAAACTGCTCTTCTGTGGAAGCATGTTCCTATCCCTGTCAAGCCGACCCATTCGTGCCACAACCATAATATAGCTGTAGCATGACTCTATCAAATATATGAGATAATGATGATTATAGATACATATATACTGTAGTATAATAAACACCTTAATATATATCGTGAGTTTAGCTTCTGGGCCGGCTGATGCTGCAAATTGCTCTGAATAAAAAAATGCTGTTCTTCTTTGACGTTTTGAGCTTTTGTAACAATAATTGCCGGACACAAATGTCTGTCCCTTCCATCCATATTTTTGTGTTTTTTGCGATTTAAAATAACCGTAGCGAATACCGATACCTATAGAAAATGAAAACAAAAATATTTTAGATCTGTAATATTTTAAATGTATAAATATAATGATTTCTTAAATTTACGCGAACACTACACATTAAATAAAACTATTATTTACGGATTTTATCGCGTTTAATTACTTTAATTTATTTTTATTATTATCCCGACGTTTCGGGTGCTTTACAGCACCCACGGTCACGTCCATCATAGGTCATCATACATCACGTGGAATTCGCTAATACCATCATGTGCCAAACCACCGAGGTTGTATGGGTTACCGAAGATACACAAACCAAACGCTCCACTACGTCCCATAGTGAGCCAGATCGATTCACCAACTTATAAGCTGGCACAATACTTAGCAAAAATACTATCACCACTGAGAGGACATACCAGAGCACACACAAAGGATTCGTACCATTTTGTGAGTGAGATAAAAGACCTACATCTCGCTAACAATGAAACTATGGTCAGTTTTGATGTTCAGTCACTATTTACATCGAGCACGAGGGATCTGTGACAGAAAACATCTGGCCGCGGAGCTTCAGCACGTCAAGCAAGTATTGCAAGACAACAAGCTTCGGGTCCCGCGCCTACGTCACAGTGAACGAGTGAAGCCGGCCACAGTCGAGCGCGCGCCTGCTCTACTACCATATGTGGGTCAGACCTACATCTTGAAGCGAGCGTCCATTAAGACATACTACAAGCCGCTGAAGAAGATTAGTCAATTTTTACCATCCATCAAATGTAATATTCCTCTACAAGATGCAGGTGTGTACAAGCTAGATTGTGAATGTGGTCTCTCTTACATAGGTCAAACAAAGAGATCTATAAAAACCCGCGTGAAGGAACATATAGCTGATGTGAAGCACCGACGCTCCGGGAAGTCTGCAGTCTGCGAACATGTTCAAGATCGTCCCCACCATTACATTAGATTTGATAAACCACAAATTCTCGCAAAAGAACACCGATTCCTACCAAGGATGATACGCGAGGCTATTGAAATTAAAAAACATCCAAATTTCAATAGAGAAGATGGTTGGGTGCTACCATCTGCTAGGGATCCTATAATTAACAAAATTAAACCCAAACCCAAGCATACCACTGCAAGACTTCATGATACTACGAGTATAAGCTTGTTTTGCGTAAATCGGACCAAAAATTAATATTAAAAAAACTGAAGGTAGCCGGACTAAATATGACATTGGGACGTCAAACATCTCAGTCCCCTCCTCCCGTGACCACGGGTGCTGTAAAGCACCCGAAACGTCGGGATAATAATAAAAATAAATTAAAGTAATTAAACGCGATAAAATCCGTAAATAATAGTTTTATTCAATGTATAAATATAATTGGAGCGAGTTTATTCTTTAGTTTTATGACAAACACTTCATCCATTTTAAAAATTAGCCCGGTCAGTCAGACCAGATCCGAAGAGAGTTTATTCATTAGTTTTATAACAAACACTGCATCCATTTTGAAAATTAGCCCGGACAGTCAGACCCGGTCCGAAGAGAGGTTATTCTTTAGTTTTATGACAAACACTTCATCCATTTTGAAAATTAGCCCGGTCAGTCAGACCGGGTCCGAAGAGAGGTTATTCATTAGTTTTATGACAAGAGGTTCAGCCGTTTTGAAGACTATAATCCGGACTTAGACCGTGGTGTGACGGGTTAGTTTTACCATACTGATGGCTCGTCGTTGCGATAGTAATACTGCTCAGTACGAGAGGAACCACTGTTTCAGATATTTGGTTCATGCACTCGGCCGATCGGCCGGTGGTGCGAAGCTACCATCCGCGGGATTATGCCTGAACGCCTCTAAAGCCGAAGCCAGCCTAGTCGAATCCAGCAAGAATATGCTCACTGTGGAGCTCCGAGAGTCTGGAGACTCTAAACAATGTGACTTTACTAGTCACTCTGCACTCGTGCGGTGCGACGTCGAAGCCCATTTGGATCTCGGCGATCGGTGTTATCGGTCGTAACACGTGCACCACGGCGCCGAGGGTCCGAATTAACCTCAATTCGATAGTCTGTAGACGACTTACGTTCCTGGTGGTTCCAGCTCAAAGCGTGGTTATTCATGTCCTAATGACATGCAAACAACATCAGCTCACTAATACACTTATTTAAATATTACAAACGATACACTTAAATTTTATTTTTATGAATAGATTTACGATACGGTACGAGACATAATATGACTATCAATTTATCATACAACGCCCGACAGCGATTGTTTAAATATCGTGTAAATATTAAAGATTTTTACTGGTGGTAATGTAGCTAATTTATCGATTTCCGCTGTGAATTGTCTACTATAAAATCCTTCCCAAACCCCCCCCCAACAAAATTCTTTTTTTACCAAAACCACCCAAAAAAAAAAATAATTTTTTTATAAAACTAAATATAAAAAAAAAAAAAAAAAAAAATTAAAAAAATACCTTTTTAATACAAAACCAAAAAAAAATATTACGATACCTTTTTATTTAATTTACTTAAGATACCTTAAAATATCGTGAATTATTGTTCATTTGTAATATTATTGATAGTACCAAGCAGTAGAAAATCGCGCGTTGTCTATTTTTCTACATTATTTTTATTGTATCATATTGATTTCATGAATAAGAAAGATGCGAAATAAAATAATGTTTAATATTATTAATTGTTCTTCTATTGAGTTTATTATTAGTTAACGACATTCATCTAATAATAAATTATAAACAACGTTTATTACGCTATTTAGTAGTAAACCATCAAAGTTCAGAACTGTCAACGGTATCGATAAACATCAAAAATGTCAATTCTTTGATTAGTCCTAGATGTTGAAAATATATCCTCAATTAAGAATAAAGGTGGCGGAGAAGAAAAATTATAATTAAGTTTCTCAAACGCACTTTTTTCAGTTTTCAAAATTCTTATAATTAGACTATATTTTAAGAACTTTACTGGACTTTACAAAATGTTACAATTTTTGTAAGAGTCGTGGTAGCTCAGATGGTTAGTACTCGCTGTAAATATCACAGTACATGAGCAACTCGGGTTTCATCCCCGCCGGCACCAATGAAATTGCTATTTGTAAATTTAAGTGATGATTTACCACGTGCTTGGCAGTCAAGGAAAACATTTTGAGGCAACCTGCATGCAAATAAAAAAAAACATTTCAAACAAATGTGAAGTTCGCCAACACGCATTAGGGCTGCGGCGGACAATCCCTTGTCCTAAAACCCTCTCAGAAATGAGAGGCTGTAACTTTAACTTTAAGTATAGTTTGCACGTACCTGATCCACCTTCAACGAGCATGAAATTTTCAGGATAAGGTTGTGGTATCACACTTGCGGTCACAACATTTATTATCCATGTGACATAAGGATAAACGTCAATATAGAGAGGTGGTTCATCGTTCAAACTATTTCGCCTCGAATGGTGAGAGCAAGGTTTACTGTCCGCTGACACGCCGATGAGTTCAAACATACCGTCTGAGTCATGACTGACGATGGGTGCACCAGGACGGATTCCACAACCAGTAGTACAGAGCGCGTGACTGATACTATCGTTTTCAATTTTCTGTTTAAGTAAACCAAGCAATGAAACAATTACAAACAAAAGAAAACTAAAAATTAACTTTTAGTAAAAATTAAAAATCAACTTAAAAGAATAAAATTATTTCACAATAGCTATCCACACCGGCTTCGCACGGGTGATTTCTGCATTTCAAAAACAGCGCCATCTACCGGTTCCAAATGTGAACCTAAGCCATCTAGGGACCCATTTAAACATACACAAAAAATTCATCAAGAGCCGTTTTTGAGTTGTAGCGGTACTAAAGGCCAGCAATTGATTTTTATATATTACTAGCGCCCCTTCAAAAAAGCCTACCTCAATGTACCTACCAGTTTAAACATACACAAAAAATATCAAGACTTTTTATAATTATAGCATTCGCCCGGCTTCGCACGGGTGATTTCTATATCTCGACAACAACGCCACCTACTAGGTCCAATTAAAATTTTTAACCATCCAAGGACCCGTTCAAATACAAACAAAAAATTTCATCTAAAACCCTCGACCAGTTTTTAAGTTTTAGGCTCGCCTCACACTACATACCAAAGTCCGTTATTAAATACGGAGTTCCGAATTCCGTTATGATCGGAATTACGGAAGTCCATATAATATGGACGGGTCAGCCACACACATACGGAACCCCTTTTTGCCCGCAAAATTTCCAACGGAAAACTACTGTAGGTGTGTAACGGGACCTTGATTTTATATGGACTAGTTGTGTTCGGAATCCTAAATCGGAATTCCGAAACGGAATCCCGAAACAAAATTCCGTATATGTATGAGGCTGGCCTAATACTATGTAGAGATTCTTAAGTCGATAACAAGACGTAGTCTAGATATATAGAATTAAAGGCTCGACCATAGATGTGAAATTATTTTGTTATTTTATTTACTGGAAGTCGGTATTTATTTTTTATTAAAAGTATTTTTTCTCCTTTGGGGTATAATTGATTAAGTGAATCAGATTAAAGAATATTACAAATTTCATTGTAAGTAATCATTATAAGTACCTTTCTTTTTTGAAGTCGGTTAATAATAATAAGAGTAGTTATATTGAGAGGATACACCACATGAATTTTGGTGTCGTAGAAAGCGAATATAGGATAGTCTCGCAGTGTTGTACTATTCTCAGACCAGAAACGGGAAGGAACGTCAGGTAAATGGTAGACGAGTAAGGCATTGCAATCGTCAATCCATCTATCAAGTGAAAATTATGGCCCATGTTTATCAGTGGGCTATTAAGGGCTGATATAGAAGAGAAAAGGAGAATAACAATAGTGTTGAAGTCAAATATTGGATATAATGATGTCAAGCTACCCATATCGTCACGTGGGTATCGTAAGAGGTGACAAGGTAAAACAAACCAGGAGATAGGCAGCAGCGTTTTGCTTATAACGACTAAAAATAAAAAACTGCGGTTGCCAACCCGCTTGCCAAGCGTGCCAACTTTGGTAAGTATCCACCCTAATGAGGTAACCTATCGGGGAGGCCTATGTTCAGCAGTGGACTATATAACGCTGTAAGCGCAACGGATGTCAAGTTATTGAATATAAAAACAATTAAAAAAAAGTTATTATTATTTTCGATACTCGTCCTAAATAATCATGTAATTCATATACTTAAGAATTTTAAGAACAAATAAATTAACTAGAGAGGTAAAGACTCAACATATGTCTGAAATTCCGTCTTTTGGTACCCTACTGTTGTATTTCATTTCCAAACAGAAATTCATATGTTTAAGGGGAAATATAACCTCAAATGGCTTAGCAAGATCCTCCGTTATGCCGAAAATATTGCAGCATTAATTTTGAAATAAATATATGGTAAAGTTGAGGATTAATGTTAAGGACTATGTTAGACGAAAACACGATTCCGTAAAATTTTCTCGATAGAAAAAAATCCAAAGTTACCTCCAAAATAAACAATAAACCGCTGTTATTCATAAAATACTTTAAATAAGATCATGAAACTTTGCATACTAACTGAACTAACTATAAAGCAGTGCTTATGTTATTTACTTTTTTTAAAACACCATTATTTTCACTGTAAAAAGATATTACCTAAACTATCGGCTTCTTGAAGCTTGATTACTGCCGCCCGGTCAGTTTCGCTTCGGCCTTTGAAGGGAAAGGTTGTGTCGCTTACGATCAGAATACACATTACGCAACAGGACGACGTAAAATTAAAATGGGAAATAACCGTAATAAAAATAAGAAGCGAATAGGTTGGCGTTAAGAAACAGGAATAAATATGATAAACCTAATGAAATAAGTATTTAACGACCTATCTACTTACAGTATTAGTGATTACAAACATGTCGGTACATAGCATACGACGCGCGGGGAAGTGGGGGCGAAATTAGAATTTGAGCTGGCTTACTATAATTTCCTCTTAAAGGGTAATTTTTTTAGTCCGTAGTGGTTATTACGCTTCTATGCACTTATTAGTATGAGGTTGATTAAAGATATTCAAGGACTACAGTTGTTACATACTACCAGGTGTTAACAACAGTTCGGTCGTTTTTCATCAGAAAAAATAAAACATACCTTTTTAATGCGATGTCTTCTACAATCTCTATATGAGTACAATTTCAATGTTTTTTTGGCCATTTTTTCTGAATCAATATCCAAAGGAACAGCTGCAAATGGAAGCGAAAGGATTTACATTCTTATACGTGGTAGAGCCATGCTGCAGTTATATTAGTAGTATAGTTGTAGCACGAATGGGTCGACTCGACTGGGGAAGGACCACGCTCTCACAGAATACCAGCGTCAAATAGTAACTTAATGCTGCTGTGTTTCGTATCGTGAGTGTAGAGAACCGGATACCCTTTTTACTGGAAACGAGGCATTCTATCTTAGTCCTCACGGGTGACAACGCACCTGCATTTTCATTCGTAATCAAAGATAGATGTACATTTCTATAGGCCATAGCAACCACCTACCATCAGGTGAACTGTGTGCTCTTTTGTCACCCCATCCTATTAAAAAAAACACAATAATCAAGGTTTGAAAATTTTATATGAGACACAAATTACACGAATAAATTGAACATACTTTTCTAATATTTAAGGGAATGATATAAAGACATGTATGAAATCTTACGTCTGTCAGCCTAAAGTAAAGGTTAGGCAGAGACTATGGATCTCTATTTTCTTTCCTATTTAATATAATAAGTATGACAAGCGAGCACAAAGTCCACCTAATGGTAGGTGAATGTGTTGTGACCCTTTAGGTTTAAGGTAGAATGCCTCTTTATTGGTAAAAATGATGTCCGATTCTCTACACTCACCAAACGAAACACATCAGAAATGTTGTGCTGTTTTACGCTGGTATTCTGTGAGAGATTGGTCCCACCACGGTCGAGGCGACTCATTCGTGCTGCATCCACAACATAATGGTTATACCACGTTATTAACATTTGGCACTTTATTAAGCTATTGCATAGCTTCTATCGCGGGCCTTGAGCGCGAGGACCGAATCCAGAAATTCCGTAACGAAAAAAAACCTCACGCTCCCCACTCCGACTGCTAACTCAATGATAAAAATTCCTGAATAACCTACATGTATTGTAAGATATTAAAAATATTTTAAACAATATTAACTTCTCATTTATTCAATAACAGAAAAAAAATGTTTTCTTATCGGTCACCACGCTCAAAAAGTGTAACTTGATTTAGTCTGAATGAAGTCTTTGATAGACTTAACTGCATAAATAAAATAAATAAATAATTATAATTGCGTAAGTTGATAAAAAATGCTATGCAATAGCTTTACCGCGGCAGTCACCGAGTGCCACACGTATTTTTTATTTATTATTTTGGCTATTACACGACTCTGGCTTCCTTCACATCCTCATATATAAACGCATTCATGGTCGTCTGTTAGAGGAACTATAAATTTAACCCTTCTTCAACATATCACCAGTTGGGTCGTAAATCTAGAAGCACACCTTTTCTTCATTAACTCCTTCTACGTATTCAAATCACCCGAGCATTCCATTCGTAATCCTAGACACAACATCTTTTTGCTTACTACATTTTTCTTTTATCACAGAGCTACCTCTTTTACAACATTAATTCTACTACATTATCACACTGCGCCCAGGGTTGACTGAAAGAGAATGCCTAAAGACATACCTACCGTCCGTCCTTTTTTAACCTTTTTGCTATAGTGTAAATAATTAAGTGCAACAATAAAATCAACATCCAACTTTTGCTACCATAAGTTAAGATAGAATAGAATAGATTAGAATAGAATAGGATAGAATAAAATAAAATAATTTTTATTCAATATAGATTATATGTAATACTTATTGAAAGAAGTTTTTTTTTAACTTTAACGCTGGTTCGGGAAAAAAATCTCTGTCCTGGGAAGAACCACCAAGAAACCCAGCTGGACATCTTTTTAAAAGTCGTTTTTCCCTTTCAGAATTCGCATTTTCGACTTAATTGCATTAAAAATATTATAAGGTATATTCTATCCCATATAATATGTACACGTCTACTGACCGCTAAGATAATCAACCATAAAGACGGATCTATCTCTTCGTTTCCTTTTCCGTTCATTCAAAGACGGTAGGCAAATTGGAGGCATGTAAGCTGAAATTTAATACCTTTTTTTTAAACAACCTTCAATTATTACTTAAGTAATTTTTATAATGTTGTCGTTTTACCAGATTTTATAGGACGTATAAGTTTAACAATGGCTATGCTGTTTGCTGTTCCAAATCTGAAAAAAAAACTAGTATTAGGTACTTTTTCATATTAATGACAAAATGATCAATAATCATAAGCTAGACCTGGTAAATTCTGGGTGTGGAATAACTTCTAGGTGAGGTATCTCGAAGTAAGCACGGGGGCAATTGAGACCCATTTTGATTTGGTCACGAGTTAGACCACATTCATCCTCGTCGCGATGGTAATCACCAAATATGACGTTCCCGCTGGATTTTAGAGAAGAAAACATATTAATAGATGAATGAACATGTGAAATAAAAAATATAACAGGAAAGATCTCATATTTTAAATTCCTTTTTTCTCGTTCTTTTTCTTTTTTTTTAAACCTTTAAAAGTCCATTGATAGACAGTCTCCACAGTTGTAAGGTGATTTGTTATATACACTACGCCTGGCAGGTAGATTTGATCTTAACTTCAGAAGTCTCACAGATTTAACGCTGTGGTTGATTTTTTATTATTCTCATTCCTTAGCTATTGCGTCACGGAGCCATCAAATTTTATTATTATTCTGTTTATTCTGTTATTTTATTTTTATTCTATTATTTATTAATTATGTCGAGTATGACAATGTAAATCGATTACAACTTAAGGGGTAATAGTAAAAATTAAGGGCCTATACTACCTCATTGGCCTAGCAAGACCATCCATTATACCGAAAATAATGTAGCATTAAGTTAGAAATAAATATATGGTAAAGTTAAGGATTAATGTTAAGTGCTATAGTCGAAAACACGATTTCGTAAAATTTTTTCGATGGAAAAAAAATCCAAACTGAACAATATTCCGCTGGTATTTATAAAATACTTTAAATTAGATCATAAAACTTTGCATACTAACTGAACTAACTATAAAGCAGGGTTTATGTTTTTTTTTTAATTACCATTATTTTCACTGTAAAAGGAAATTACCTAAACTGTCGGCGTTTTGAAGCTTGCTCCCTGTCCCTGTCCCTGCCGCCTGATCAGTCTCGCTTCAGCTTTTGAACGGGAAAGCTGCGTCACTTACGAGGACATACACACATTAGGACGACGTAAAATATAAATGGGAAATAACCGTAATAAAAATAAGAAGCGACTGGGTTTGCGTAAAGAAACAGGCATAAATATGATAAACCTAAAGAAATAAGTATCTAACGACCAATCTACTTACAGTATTCGTGATTACAAACATGTCGGTACATAGCATACGAATGCGCGGGGAAGTGGGGCGAAAATAATATTTGAGCTGAGGTAGTATAGGCTCTTAAAAAAATTTAGTTACAATTTCTATTCCAATTACATCCTATTAAAAGTCAACTGTTGGACATACGCCCCCCCCCCCATAGGTTGCATCTGGTGGTGATATTTACTGTAGTTGACTGTCTGTGACTGTTGTGGAATATCTTAAGCCGCCACTACTAAGAACTTTTTTTATTATTCCCATATTATTATTATGTAAATAATAAAAAAAACTCACAGTTTATAGTTTTTTGGCAATCGCATCAGATCAGCGGCGGTGCCGAGTACAAATTGTTTATGAATGAGCACCACACGTGGAGATTTCGATTGATGCGGTAGCGCCGTGGTAACTGCGTCATAAAACATTAAGGTATACTAAGGTGTAACATTATAATATAACAGTTTTAACATGTGTAATTATAAAAAGTAAAACTAATGCCATCGATCTCTTCTAAAGTGGTTATGGACTACTGAGACTCAGAGGCTGAGCGCTCGCTGTAAATTCCTGATTTACGACGTGGTGAAGAAAAAATCGTGAGGAAACCTTAATTTCTGAGATTTAAAATATTTTGAGGACATAATATGAAGTCCGCCAACATGTATTGGATCAGCGTGGCGGGCTGATTGCTCCATAGCCCTGTAAAATGTAACATGCATAAACATGATACTCTAACATCGTTAAAAATTGAATACTATAAATGTCTGAACCGACTTCAAAAAGGAGAAGGTTCTCAATTCGAGTGATGTTCTTTTTTGTATGTTTATGATTTTAATAATTATTTTTTTTATTAAATAGGCTTTACCTCAAGGTTAGTCCCAATAAATTTTGAAGAAAATATTCCGCCCCAGGGGTGGAAAATACGGGAAAAGTTTCATATTACTATTGTTTGATTTTTTTCAATACAAAATGAATCCGAATTCCTAAAGGTTCCGAATAAATAACTTCTTTTATAGCAATTTTAAGTCGATTGTTACTTTTTGTAAAATAGTTATAATTATTTAACACTATTTTATGAGCTAAATTAGTATGAAATTATTATTTTCCTAAGTATGCGTGTATGTATATATGTATTTTTGTGTATGTCATCAATTCATAGATAGATGAATAGATGATTAACAGCTTACGATGTCAAAATTCTGCACAAATATTGGCTTCGACTATGTTTATACTGATAAATTTAATACAAAATGTAAATGTATATTATCTTGATTACCGAAACGAGCAATTTGTAAATATATATATATATATATATATAAACTAAACCCCTAACAACATTTTAAAAAAATATTTTTTTTTTTTTTTTTTTTTTTTTTTTTTTAACAACAATTCTCCCCCCCTACCCCTCACAGAAAATCTATTACTAGTCTTGTGCCCCCAAGCCCAGTACGGGAGGGGCACCCCCCAACTTCCCGCCCTATATATATATATATATATATATATATATAAATGTGTGTGTGTGTGTGTGTGTGTCCCTGGTCTCGAGCTCTGTTTTTAAATTTTTTTTAAAATACAAAAATTTTAATTAAACTAATTGCACTCACGATTTTATTCAAATAACCAGTTCAGTTTTTTCTATTATGTCAATAAGATAAAAAAAATTATTAATGTTTCTTCAGTATGTAATTTGTATCTTAATATAATTTCCAAAAAATACCGAGAAAGCTCGATCATCCAGGTACTGGAATATTTGTACAAAGTTTAGAAAGTCACAAAAAATACGAGAATATATTATAGTGTCCGATAATAATAAGTTTATGTATTGTAAGTTAAAATTTTACCATCTACTATGTATAATCGCGATTGATAGGAATGTTTATGAATATAATATAGATAATCGATAATCTTTAAATAAAATTAAGAAAATATTTTATTTATACATACCATGCACATAATAAATGAAGCCTAACCACTTAAATGTATGACCGTGCAAAATGCCATCTGGGGGTTTTAGCTCAAAGTCATCGTGGCAAGTGGCTAAATCACGCATCATGCTTACTGCACCTCTTATGCAAACTGTAACATTGAAATTAGATAATATACGGATTTTAATTTATTACGTATAGAAAAATATAAATGTAGGTAATTACAAACATGTTAGGAATATGGATTTACAAACGTCCATTTCGCGTCGTGTTACTGCTATACTACTCGTATTTGCTTGTTGACAAATAAGATTTGCCGGCGGATGATTAGTAAAAGCCCAAGAGCGGAATGCAAACTAAATTCTTAGGTCTTTTAAAGAACAAATTGTAGCTGCAATGCTGCGTTTTTTTAAATGATAATGAGGTGATAGCCACCATGGTGGTTCTTTTTTTTATAGAAAAGGGGGCAAACGAGCATACGGCTCACCTGATGTTAAGTGACTACCGCCGCCCACGATCAACCGCAACACCAGGGGAATTGCAGGTGCGTTGCCGGCCCTTTAGAAACGAGTAAGCTCCATTCTTGAAGGTCCCTAGGTTGTATCGGTCCGAAAAAATCGCCGGTGGTAAAATATTCCACATAGTGGTCGTTCGCGAAAGAAAACTCCTTGTGAAACGTACAGTGGTGGACCGCCAAGCATCCAGATGGTGTGGATAGTATCGGGACGTTTGCCGCGTAGTGCGTTCACGAAATTTGGCGGCTGGGATTAATCCGTACAATTCCTCAGAGCACTCCCCGTGGTATATGCGAAAGAAAATGCAAAGAGATGCAACGTCTCTTCGTAGCGCCAGTGAATCGAGCCAAACGGAAAGCACTCTGTCATCGACGATTCGAGCCGCTCTGCGCAGGATGCGGTCAAGTGGAAGGAGCTGGCACTGGGGAGCCCCTGCCCAGAGTTGGGAACAGTATGTCACTCGATACGTCAACGCCGAGCATTCCGATACTGGTATGAGGCAACTAGGGGAGTGCCTTGAAACTGAGGAGATACGACAAAGGGGTGGTTCTTTTTAGCGGTTAACGTGCAAACTTGTGTCTTCTGAAGATTAAACAGGAATAGATTTAGTCGCCCCCAATCCGAGACTTTGTTCAGCAAAGACACGATTTCAAACACAAGTTTGTCCCGGTACTCGGAGACGTTTACCCGAGTAATATTGGCACGGCCGGTGTACAGAGCATCACCAGTGCTGTCATCTGCATAGCAATGAATGTTACGGGTTTGCAACATATCATTGATATGCAGAAGAAACAGTGTTGGCGATAGCACGCAGCCTTGTGGATCACCAGCATTAATAGACTTGTAATCGGAGCTTGCACCGTATACAACGACCTTGATGCTCTTATCTGCAAGAAAGCTGGTGATCCAATTACACAGTTTCTCAATAAAAAGGTAGCTTCGAAAGAAGCGCTTTGTGCCAAACCCGATCGGAGGCCTTCGCAATGTCCAAACTAACGGCTAATGCCTCTCCCTTGGACTCTATTACCTCCGCCCATCTATGAGTTAGGTAGAACAAAAGATTACCAGCTGATCGACCACGACAAAAATCGTATTGGCGATCACTAATCAGCTGGTGATCCTCAAGGTACCTCATGAGCTGGCAGTTTACAATGGACTCCATTGTTTTGGAGAACAAGGAGGTGATGGCGATAGGCCTGTAATTGGACGGGTCTGAGCGGTCGCCTTTTTTAGGGATTGGGTGGACGAAAGCCGTCTTCCATGACTGGGAATACGCTTAGGGAGTAGGAGTACCGGAAAAGACGCGTTAAAACCGGTGCCAACTCTGGAGCACACGTCCTCAGCACGATTGGGGGGGATTCCGTCAGGCCCACTCGACTTGTGGATATCCAGGGAGAGGAGTGCTTTGCGAACCGAGCGCTGTGTGAACTGCACTTCCGGCATGGAGCACTCACACCGCGGGATGGTCGGTGGCGTACTCCCCCCGTCATCGAGAGTCGAGTTGGACGCAAAGAAAGAGCCTAGCACATCGGCTTTTTCCTTTGGGGTATGGACCAGTGAGTCGTCCTCCCTGTGCAGAGATGGAAGAGATGGCTGACAGAAATTCCCCTGGACAGTATTGGCGAGAGACCAGAATGCACGGGTTCCAGAAGGAAGGCGAACCAGTTTCTCGCCAATCCATCCTATGTGCTCTGACTTTGCCCTGGCAATGCCTCTTTTGAAGGACCTGGAGGCGGACTTATACTTCTTTTTTAGAGCGCTGGTGCTTACATCCCGGGACGTTGATGCGTCAGCCCAGGCTTGGTAGCACTCCTGTCTATAGCATGATTCTATTTTACAAGAGCTACCAAACCATGGCTGAGATTTGCCTCCAATAGAGGAAGGAATAAAAAGTTCCATACCCTAAAATACATCAGTGACAGAATCCGTAACAACGTTGGGATCGTCCGGAAGCAAACCTGACCCCAAGGGTAGGATGCAAAGAAAGACCGCATCCTATCCCAATCGGCTGACCTTAAAAAACGAGTAGTAGGCATGTCATTCGCATCAATTAATATTCATCAATACAATTAAACGACCATGCATGCATAACAACACGTAAAGCATGTCATGCCGTATTACAGTCTAAAGCCAACCTTATTCAACGGTGTACCGCTGGTACACCAATTTCTGCACGGTCGACTAACTCTGAGGGATGCAGAAAGAAGTAGTCGCTTTTTGACGGACGGACGGCTGTTACGGAGAGAAACGACCTAGCTGTGAAAAACTATATTAGTGACAATAGACGAATTGTATAAGAAGAGATTTAGCTAATTTTGCAGATTAGACTTTATCGGTCAAAATTTCACACGAGCACCTTCGCGGAAAGAGAATTTTGCAAGTTACGTGCCGAGTGCCACAGACTCGCCGATGCTCAGAAGCGGGCCCGCATACTAAATTTGAAGTAGACTGGTCTCATGGTGCTCTGATATTACAGCTGCAGAATTTTCGATTTATCAGTACGATCCAGCACAAGAAATATTTTGATTTCTTGGTTTAAGCTTTGACGGGGTTTTTATCGGTGTTTGTACCGATTCCAAATTTTTAAAAACCTGCTGCTCGTATTTTGATTTTTTATGTTTGTAAGAAATTTAAAAATCTAAATAGCATTAATGCAAACACTCAGCTAACATGATTTAGTAATAAAAACTTAAGCCATGGAATTTTTTAGTTTCGCTTATCTTTCTCTAAAAGTTATTAGAGATGGGCCGAATATGGATTTCACCGAATGCGAATATTCGGCCGAATGTTCGGTAAAACTTTTATCGAACCGAATATTTGGCCGAACATTATTCGGCAGGATCGCTTCGGTACCTAACAAATTTATATCTAAACTTGTTTCTGTAAATAGCGTGGGATTAGCACCGGACCCTGCCCCTCGCTCTCCCGCCACACCTGACATGTTATTGCATCATCTAGTACTGAGAAAATTGCTGGCACATGTTTATGTTTTGACTATTTTTGTGAGAAAAAAGGATTACGTTGTCTTATTCTTAGTGAAAATTGATAATATGACAAAAATTAGTGGTAGGAGATCTACTATTTGGACTTATTTTAGAGAAACTGACGACCAATGTGAAGTGAAATGTACTAATGTAATGTTTCTTTATTTGATTAAAAATAATTATCAAGCTTTCTATTTGCTATAATTGGAAATAAATTTACAGTGCCTCAAAAACAAAACGCTGTACAAGTAAATTTAACCCGTAAATAAAATATACTTTCAAAAGTAATATTATGAAAGACATGGCATTACTCAATTAGTACATTTCAATATAGTGGATACTTTGAGTATGACTTTAACGAATGTTCGGTAATTTAGCCGAATATTCGGCCGAATACGAATATTCGGTAAAGGTGCCGAATATGCCGAATACCGAATATAAAACGAATATTCGGCCCATCCCTAAAAATTATACATTGATGACAGCGTATCCGCATTTTGATTATATAACGAGGATAAATGTAGATTCCTTCTATGGTCCACAGTATCCACTCACCATCAGGTGAACCGTGTGATCGTTTCCTACCCTTACTCTAAAACAAATATACGAGCATCGCTACACTAAGATGAATTGGCTTTTTGTCCGTAATTTGACTTGGGTTTTTGACTGTAGCCAAACAAACACCTATGACCAAACAGCAACATAGGTATATTTTAATCAGTATTCTATGACAATAGATAGCGGGAATAAATTTTTCTTTTTTAATAAATTAAGGATGTTTTAAACACTGTTTAAAATGCAAATTAACCGGTTTGAAGTTTTAATAACTTCGTACTTTTAAATTGTTTGTTTGTTATGAGAAATTTTTATTATGTAAACTTGGCAAACATTAAACTTGATATATATACTCGTACGTCGAATACAAACAACATTATTTGTTAGTACGTTGGTAGTCAAATTAGTTAGGTTATCATGGGACCTTGTTTTTGGTTTCTTTTGTGCTTAATATTATATTTTGGTAGGTAAATATTTTACTGTGGATTTAGTATTACAAGTATCTACAATGAAAACTATTCTACCGTTTGATTATACGTATATATCTATGCGTATTATCGTGTTAGCTCAGCTCACGTCGTCATAAACACATCAAATCACAAACATCACGTTATCATAAAGTGAAATAACTATAAATGGTTTAATATTAGTTTATAGTAAGCTATCAAATAAATAACTTACAAAAGTAAAAAATATTTATTTTATCTTTTAGTTGCATGTGGATTTTCTTGGGATGTTCTTTCAGACATGGGGTCCAGACGTGCTGGAAGTAAATATGGTAAGTTTTGGGGAACTCGATTTTTAATGCATTATATTAATTCATAATTAAAATTTACGTTATTAACATATTCTTGAAAACGGTTTTCAGTTTTTAAAAATGAATATGTATTCGGAGACTGTAAACGAACGGACAAGACCTTATATTTTAATGTTCGTAAAGCAGTAAAAGACATACAAGAATATTCAGTTATTCGGGTAAGATCATTATCACCACATAATATGTATATTAAATGTAATTTTGTAAACCACACTATTTCAGTGAAGTCATACAATTCGATTAAAACCTTTGGTTTAACGAGATAGATATTGTCGTATATTTACTATTCGTGTGACATTTTTGCTAGTTTCACTTAATCTGATAAGTGATAATATAAAAAGGATCTCTAATCTTGTTCAAAATTTTGTTGAAACACTTTTATAATTATAACATCATAATATATTCTGTCAAATTTCGTGCTTCAGTAAGCTTTGTTTAGTTTGGATTTATCGTTCGTTTAAACGTGGTAGAGTCACGCTGCAGGTTCAGCCTTTTTGCTGGTAACAAAGCATTTCATCTTAGCCCTTAAGGGTGAAAGACAACTTCTTATATGTACTTTACGTAACCTTAGAATCAGAGAATCTGATTGAAGGCCACAGCTGTTTTGTGTAGGGTATGAAAAATGTAAATTTTCTTTTTTTTTTTTTTTAATAATGGCATGTGATTTGTCACTTGTATTGAAAATCTCGGGGATAAGGATATAAAATAACAGAAGCAGTCAACAAATTGAAATGAAACAATAAAAAACATCACTATACTATATAAATGCACTAGTAATACAGAATTAACAAATTGATAGATTGCCCAAATATACATAAATATATTTGATATTTCAGGAATGGTTATACATTAAAAAGCTACCAACATGCATCATTTTGAATACAACAACGTACGAAAGTAACACGTACCGTGTCACAAAGTACAATTTTTTAATTTGTGTTGTACGACTATCTTTCTGCTACACTCAACGCAGATTCAACTATTATTATTACGAGTGGTACATACCTCCAGATGTGATTGGCGGTGTGGATTGGGACCTTTCTTTTTACGGGCCTACTGGCGAAGACTGGGTTACAACAGCTTAAATAATACTCTGAGATTATCAAGATTTACAACTATACAAAGATACAACTCCGAAATATTTAATGTACATTCAAATGTTTTATAAAAAAATATATATATATATATATATATATATATATAGTATATAATTAGGAATAAAGAACAAATTGAAGAAGCACGAGAGTAGAAAGAACGCAGTAGAAATGCGGTCGTTAAGGTGTATGTTAGGGCTGAATCTGAATGACAGGGTAAGAAATTGTGCAATAAGAGGAGAGTGTTATTTGCAAGATGATGTTGTAACCAGGATTAAGAAAGGAATGCTTCGGTGGTTTGGTCATGTGGAAAGAATGAATGAGGAAAGAGTGACAAAGAAAATGTATGTTGCAGAAGTGAATGGCAGAGTCGGAAAGGGACGTCCTAGGCGAAAATTTATCGACCAAATTGGCGATTTATTGAAAACGGGCCAAATTAGGAGTACCCTTAACCGACGAGCATGTATGCGTAGGTGTATGGATGTGAAGGAGGCGAGAGAGGTGTGTCAGGATCGTGCCAAATGAAAGTCTGTAGTCTCTGCCTACCCCTCTGGGTGACAGGCGTGAATGTTTATGTATATGTTATATATATATATATATATATATATATATGTGTGTGTGTGTGTGTGTGTATGTGTATATGTAATATGTTTATTTACTTATACAATTTGTGAGTGTTATATAGTTCATAGCACGAATAAGTCATCGAAGGAAAGATAAAACCATAAAACTAAAGACTTTTCTGAATATTGGATTAGACTTTATGTGTATATGATTAAGTTGATTCGAGAATGGTCTAGATTCCAAATTAACCCGGTGGGTTGAGCTGCATCCGAGATGTGGAAATCACCCGTTCGAAGCCATCCGCCATGGCTTCGCTAGTCTTTTTATGTAATCGGCATTAAATGTGTTAAATAATGTAGCACGAAATTGCTGTTACATGCTTTTTATTAACGAAACGACATATGGACGTGATTCACGAAAAATGTTATATAACTATGCCTGATGTCTTCACGTAGGCTCGTAGTGACGTCGACAGAATCACAGCGCTGCAGCATGGTATTGCTGACAGAGTTTAATGCCGAGTCCGTGGCCTTTTCTTCGGTACAATCCAATGAATTATTATACCTGGGGGCACGGCAGCGCCCCAGCCAAGTCGAGAAAAAAAGCGGCACGCCGTACCATACTTATCTCGAAGCTGTTCAGGCCATTTTCGACCCCCTATAATTATTTTTCTCGTATATTATGCATGCGTATTCTTTTGTAGCGATGATTAAAAATTTATTTTTTCTTTCAATAATAATTTTCAGTGTTTCGATGTCCCGAGGCTAACATTGTTCTGTTATTATTATTCGCCGATGAGCCGAATAGGAAAACATTCAAAAATTAAAAAAAATCGAGGAACTTTATTCTATATTTTTAAAAACTAATACAATTGACGGTTGTGTAACTGGGCAAATATTTCGTACTTATTTGAAAAATAATTAAATTGTAATTCTGACCAATTCCAAGTTTAAAAAAAATAATGAGTTAACTTTATTTTTATACCATAACAATATAAGCATATCCAGTTTATTCAGTTTTATCAGGCTTCAGTCCACCTTGAGGCAAAGGAGGTGGAGGTACATTAGCAATCTCAGGGTCTTTAGGAGAATAGTTTAGGACGTTAAGATCGCTAGGTTCAGGAGGTGGTGTCGAAGTTGGTTGATTAACAACTGTTGGGGCGTGAGCGACCTCCTCTTTACCAGGTACTCGAGATTCATATTGTCCTACAACGTTCGTTAAAGGATGATACAATGATGGCACCCCGACATAAGGATTAAAGCTGAATGGGTTAAAAGGATCGTAAAACCTGAGTGTTGGGTAAGTGTAAGTGAAATGCCCAACGTTAGGGATGCTATTGTAGGTGCTGGTGAGGGGTATTACTTGAGGTGGAAGCCCAAACTCGTTTAGAGGTATAGGTGATTCTGTTTTTGGTGGTGGAGGAGATATTTCTGAAGATTTGATTTCAGTCTGGGGTTGAACAGTGCTCGGTGCAGGAGTTTGTTCCGGTTGTTCTGTAGCTTGGACCGCTGGTGCTTCAGATGATGGTGCAGACGGTGGTTCGGGCGTTGCTTGCGGCACTTTGGGTAGGAAAGCTGGTGCGGGAATGTATCCCTGAAAATTAAAAAAAGAAGAATAATTATCGATATAGTTTATGCGAAAGAAGTGAAGTTATAGCTTATATATACATCTCCACTCCAGGGCACGTGCTTATTTCATTTTGATAGGGTTTTAGGGCAATGTGTAGGGAAGTGTCCACCGCGTGGCCGCAAAGCGTGTTGACGGATTTAACATGTCTTTGAAATACTTCTTTCTAATTTCTCAGACACGCAGATTTGCTTACTGTGTTTTCTTTCACCACCGAGTATTTGAGCACAACTGCATTGGTGCTGATGGGGATCAAACCGGGATACGTACGTAAGTGTTAAAAAATATATAATTATATAATCTTTATTGAAACATCATTATGATTAATATATCGATGTTTCAATAAAAATGGGATCGGAAACCCGAAAGTCAGTATATCTTCAGTTAGGTGTTCAGTTCTAGCTCAAAATTACCAGTAGGTAACGCATTGTTTCGTACAAATTATATTTTGTCTTATTTTGTTATCATGAGACGTCAATTTAGTATACTGTGAAGCGGTTCCTTTTAGTTGACTATACTGGTTACTGTTTTAAACGAAACACAGTCCAGTATACTGTCATCCCCATTTGTCGACATTGTTTTCAAATGAAATATTTATCAGGTACACGTTTTCTGTTCAACAAGAAAAAATATTATTTGAATTTTGTTGCTTTTAAAACTTAAGGTTCGAGTTTTTTTTATATAAAATTTATTTATATTAATTAATAATATTAACAATAATTAGTGGAAGCTGTTAAATCTCTTGGCACTGTTATGTTTTTTGACCACGTGATGAAAGTACTGAGAGCACCTTGCCTCGCAAACGCAAGTGCCAATTTCCCTAGGGTACTGCGGCAGTATACTGGCAGTCCATAACGGAACGAATTTTTCACCAGTGAGCCCACTGAGTAGTGCTCGGTGGTGTATATCGGTACACGGTCTTAAAGTGTACAAAAAATAACGTTCTGTATACCCATATAGAATAAGGAGGCACAATCAAAGCATTGTAAGGTAAATGTATGATATTCTTAGGATTTCTGAGATCGCATCAGATTCTATATTTAAAAAAGTAAGTATAGTGTAGGAAATTAAATGTAAATGTAAGAAATAATTAATATCATAGAACTTTTTATCTTAATTAATGAATATTGTGACATTATTTCATCAATCTTACAATGCACCTAGTAAGCAATAGTCATTAAAAGAACATTAATACCTAATTTAAGCAGGATCCATTGTACTCAAAGTAAATAAATAGCATTGTTTTTTTAACTCTATGTTTCATTCTACCATACACACCACAAAATCTTACTTAATTTTTAAACACATATATCGACTATTTTTCCAGTTCTAAGTAACTTCTCAATTTAAACGTTTGTATTGAGAAGCAATCTTTAATGTCCCGTAGTTTTTGTACCCTTTTACTTAAAGTTCTATAAGTGGGTCTACATAACTAGTTAATTCGTTATTAAAAAGAGACTCTACATATAAATACCCAAAATGGCGCATCAATTCAAACGAACTAAATTCTCCTTAGGGCTGGAAAATAATTCTAACGTTGCCTTTCCGGGTATTAGACAGCTTTATTTTCCGTCGTTTCTTTTGCAGTTCTACGGCGGTGCGATTTAATCTTAGAATACATAGACATACATACATACGTATGCATAGAGAGAACATATAATTCTACATAAATTGTGTCAATGTATTTGTCTCGCTTTATCTAATCTGATTTCGAAAGAAGTTAAAAAGAAACAAATATTTTGAAACATGTTGCGTGTAATTCATGCGTGGAAATATAAATGTCAAGTGGTCATCTTTGGTCTCTTTTACTATGCCAAATATGAGAATAAGTACACTCGTATCTACTGATTTACTAACAAAATAACGTCCCTAAAAAAGTAAAGTTGCATCCTATATACGTCCCACAGCTGGGCACAGGCCTCACCTCATTTCTGAGAGGGTTTTAGGGCAAGGAAGTGTCCGACACGCTGCCCCAATGCGTGTTGGCGAACTTCACATGTCTTCGAAATATTTTGTTTTTTTTATTCCTCAGACATGCAGGTAGGTTTCCTCACGATGTTTTCCTTTACCGCCGAGCACGTGGTAAATCAGCACTTAAAATTGCAATTAACAATTTCATTGGTGCCGGCGGGGATCGAACCCGGGTTACTCGCGTTCTGTTATATTTATTGCGAGCTTGAACCATCTGAGCTACCACGGCGCACTCAGATGACATCCCTATTGTAGTAATATTATGTGTGACGTTATTTCACAACACACGACGTGTTTAATTTATAGTGATTTCATTCGTAATATTAGCAACAATCGACATCGATATACTCTTTTTGGTTAGTTATTTATTTTCATTACATTATTATACGTCTAAAAATAAAAACAAAATAGGACTAGACTTATTATTATTTAAAATTATTTTCTAAATCAAGTGATGATGATTATTATATTACATTGCAATAATTCGTTTCGCAAACTTTAAAAACATAAGGGAGTTGGATCCCAATTGTAATCCCAATTTAACGATCCGCCCCGGCTTCGAATGACCCCGCGATTGCACAATATCAACAACATCGCCACATACCGGCAATTAATTTTTATTTAACCATCTACTATATTCAGCAAAACTTTATCCGTTTAGATGAAAATATTTCTAAACCATGAAGTTAAGACAGGATCTTGATACTGCCGTGTAGCGGTGCCGTAAGAGAAATCACTACCTCTTACCAAATATATATTATTACTGCCTCGTTGGTCTAGTGGTTGTAGTAGTGTGACTGCTGATCATGAGGTCCTGGGTTCGAATCCCGGATCAGGCCAAAAAAATCAATTATTGAGTGTTTCTGTCAAGAAATTCTCAGTAGCTGCCCGGAGTTAGGTAGTTGCCGGTGTCTCACCCCCGTGCCTCGGAAAGCACGTAAAGCCGTTGGTCCTGCGCCTGATCTCTCTCCGGTCACGTCGGTTTACCGTCCCATCAGATTACTAGAGTGAGGGAACAGAGAGTGCATCTGTGCTTGCGCATACACTTGGGCACTATAATCCTTTCCTGCGCCGATCGATGGCTAGCCTCCGTTGAGGCAGGCCGCCGTGGCCGAAATTCGGTCTGGAGAACATTATTATTATTATATATTATTACTTAGAAGCTCTAAGACCCCATACCTTCCCTTGAGTATCTTAAAAGATGACAGAGGGAAATGAAACGGGAGATAGACGACAGTATCTTCCTGACTACAACATAAAATAATAAAAAATTGCGGATGCAAAAACACTTGCTAAGAGAGGGATAATAATGGCTAATAGTCCCCCTACGTTCAGTAGTGGACTTTTGATAGACTGTAATTATTGAATAAATGATGGATAATATTTTGAGGGAGCAGTGAGGCAAACGGGTAATACGTTCGTAATGTATTTATTGGCAGTTGTGATCTGGCAACAAAAAAGAAGGCAAACCGCGGTCGTGATGCTGTTATTGTACTATCATAGTTGTACGAGTACTCTCTGTGTACGTTCCACGAAGCAAAACCAGTGTCGATTAAACAAACACAATTTCCTTATATTTACTAAGTCATAGATTAAATAATTTAATCGACAACGTTGTTTTAATTTTGCTTTAGAGTATTTACATATATACGTATGCATAGAGAGAACCTACGATTCTATATAAATTGAGTCAATATACTTGTCTTGCTTTTTCTAATTTGATTTTCAAATAAGTCACAAAGTGACAAATAATTCAAAGATGTTTTTTTTATTATATGCGAGCAGCTGTGCAGATCTAGGGAAAGATACCAGTATCACTGCGACCTATAAGATCTATTGTGATCGCTGCTATGGCTATAGTTCACGGCTAAGCCCTATGTCTTCAATGAATAGAAGGAGTTGCTTAGCTGTGAGCAATTTCACTTCTTCTGTGCGGAGTACATATTAAGGGTCCGCAATCAGTTAGGATGTGTAGAGGCGTTTCTTCCGTTATGGAACAGAACCGACACATCCTTGAGTTGCTTAGTCCCAGGATGGACATGTGTTTTTTAAGACAACAGTGTCCAGTTAGGGCTATTGTCAGAATTCTCAATTTTAGTTTTACTTAATCCCAGGGCTTCTGAAGCGAATTTACGAGCAAAATCCCGGATTAGGGTTTTAGAATGTTTTAAGCCTGGTGTGTCAGACCAGATCTTAAGTGATTTATTGTGATAAAGAGTTTCAAGGGTCAATCGGGCTAGGCTTCTTGAGATTCCACAAAATGGCTCAGGTCCAAATTGTGTGCACTTTGAGCCCTCCCGTGCAAGTTTATCGGCAAATTCGTTGCCTACAATACCCTCGTGACCCGGAACCCATCTTAAAACGACCCTGTTGTTACATGCCATGACGTTTAAGCGGTTCACGCAGTCTCCCCCTAGCTTCGAGTTCACTAAGCTTCACCTCAGCGCTAGCAGTGCTGCTGACTGCTGACTATCAGAGTTTATGTAAATTATATGGTTGACGTAGTTTTTTTGCAGATTGATTTCCGCACACCGAAGTATGGCGAAAATTTCTGCCTGGAAGATAGAGGTGTATCTACCCAAATTCATACTAAGTTTGAATTTGGGGCGCTCCCCATCAATTCCAAAGTCTACGTCGAGGCCCATTTTAGACCCATCGGTATACATATGACATATGAGGCTACCGACCACACAGATAACCTGGCCATTCAGCCAGTCTTCTCAGGAGGATAATTCAACTATATATATTTTTATCAAAAGTGTGTAGTGGAAGCATGATATCTGAGATCGTGCATAAGACCGGTGATTCCTTAATTGAGTCGAGCATGGATCTCAATCTGCAGGAGAGCAAGCTCAGACCGCCCTGGGCGTTAATCCTATATACAAACTAGCCCCCGCCTCCTTGTCTAGATAGAGATCAAGGGGCCACTAAGATTCAGGCGAAGCACCTCCATAAGCAGCATCTTTCCTTGTTACACCAGACAATATGGCGTAGGT